TTTCCCTCAGTCTTTGCTACTGAGCATGGAGTCTTACGGTATGGAATACCCTTGTGGTGAGTTGAAGTCAACTGTCTCAGCTGCCTCCAACCTCTTGCCCACCTTCAGCTTACTGGCCTTTGTGGGGTGGAGAACAGTGAGATGGAGGGTGGTTTGAGAGAAAGCCATGATTTTGTGCAAAGAATACTCACTAGCAAAAACATCAGCACTTTATCAATACTTTTCAAGCCACAAATGTAAAGCACAGAACTATAAAAGCTGTTATAAGGAAAGTTAACTCCATTCCAGCCAGAACCAGTACATCTGTCACCCAAAACAACTCTAATTTCTTTGCCAAGTATTGCAATGTAATAAAGATGTTTTATTATTTGCATTTATTGTTAGTGTCTTTAAAAGGCCATTAAAAATAACAGTCCAAATGTTTCTGTGGTTTGTGGGATCTATATGTGTCAGTATTAAAGTGAGTCATACAATCACAGTCAAGATAGGTTATCAGCATTTTACTCTAAGCCAAAAAGTGTGATTTGTTTGAACTGTTTTCTATTCTCCACTTTGGTAGCAGCTCCATCCTATGAGGTTATTATGAATGTTAATATATAACTTTCACAAGGCAGAACTCCACCTTTGTCATGCACTGTATTTCATTACAAAATTGGTTTTACTCTGAACTCTAGACAAATATCTAAGCTGTGTAAACATATTCTTGGTAATTACATGTCACATTGATCTTGGTGAGTCAAATATTAAACCATTTCCTGAAGATATCCATTTGGAGCATGTGTATCTCAAACCACTTTGGCAATTCCACAATTTCATAATGTATGTGGTTTTACTTTATAGTAGAAATTAAAGGAAATACTATATTGTTTTCAGGGGATGCCTAGCTGTGTTTTGGTATGTGATTGCATCCTCTTGTGTAGAGGAAGGGCAGCTCATACCTTCTTTAATGCTTCTGATACTACTAGGATAGTGGTGTTATTGCCTGGTTTAGCAGCTAATTCCAGCTTGTCACCATTTCACCATTCTTTTTTTTTTTTTTTTTTTTTCTTTTTCTTGCATACCTTACTAATGCTTTCTGCAACTGTAGCCCAAATACTACACTACTGACATGGACGGTTCAGGCCTCTGGAATGAATCTTGTTAGGCTTTGTCTGGACTTGTTTTGATCTACCTAAAGTTCTTTTTGGTTTTGCATATATGCCAATAACGAGCGAGGTTCTTTTCTGCATATAACAAACTTTTATGGTCTTTTCTTAATAAAGTGGGTAGAGGAGTATCACCACAGTATGATAACAGAAGCTTGAAAGTGGAAATGGAGTGCAGTGCAGGGGAATGAGTGCATGGCATGGTAAGAAAACTAGCACATGGTGACACTGAAAACCCCAGGACTATGCGCAGCTCATCTATGATAATTTACTGCCAATTAAAGAGAAGTAGGGATGGGAGCTGAACAATAGAGATTGTAGGGTGTCAAAGAAGTATCCATCCATGTAAGACATTCCAGATACGGTTTATTTAGGTGTGAAGTGGAATTGCAGCAATCAAGAAAATGCAAATTGTAAAAAATGGTAAGATATAAACATTTAAAATAGCTCCAGATGGATCCTAGAAGTAGGAAGAAGAAATCATCCTCATGCCACCAAAGAGGAGAAAGAAACCCCTGTCATCAACATCAAATCTTCCCCTCCGAAGGACATGGGATGCTGAGAGCTTGCTGTCAGGCTCCTTCTGCGCCCACAGTTGAATATAACATAAAAACCTTAGAACCCGGAAGGGTAGTGGAAGGGTAAGCCTTAACAGTGAGGAATGGCTAGATACTAGGAATTGTCTGTACCACAGTTTTAACTCTATTAAGATGTTTTTCTCTAATGGTATTTGGTTTTCTTTTGCCTGTAATGACTAGATTTGAATCCTTTGGTTAGACGGTTAGGATATTAATTACACTAGCAATAAATTCTGGACTTAGCTCATTGCGAGCATTTCCTTTTGCCCAAAAAAGTTTCTAATATATAACATTTCACTGTTATATAAGAATATTTGTTGTACCAAATAAAAAATAACTCCAATTACTCTTTACATATAATGGCATGGTTAAGAAGGACGTGAAATAACATTTCTCTGACAATTTCAATGTTTTTCTGTTATGTTTCGATAGCATTTGCAGCACTGACTTCCAAACAAAAGTTTGAGTTTATGAATTCAAGGCCGGCTGGACAGAGACTTTGGCGACACGGTCTAGTGTGAGGCATCCCTGCCCATGGCAGGGGGGGTTGGAACTGGATGATCTTAAGGTCCTTTCCAACCCAAGCCACTCTATTATTCTTTGAATTCCCAGTGATAGTGGTTGGTTGCACATTTCTTATCATGTGAACAAAAGAAAAAACACTTGTAACTAAAATCTTTGTGTATTCAAAGGCTTTCTGGGAACTCGCTGCACCAAAGTTACATCTTGAGGGATGTAGCGGCACAGCTAACAATGGCATTTAATGAATTAGTGGGTATAGGAAGCAGAATATAGCTATATTATACAGGGCTAACCCAGCTGAACATCCTGTTCATTAATTTACTGCAAGCTGCATATATCTGTTAGGTACTAATAAATTGAACACCAGACCTAGCTTCCTTTTACTGTAGGGGGTAAAGATACATTTCAATCTTTGGAGCACAGTTTAGGAAGGGAAGTAATGCGCTGGTTGAAAACATTACTATTTAAGACTGTGTAGACAAACATCTTTCATTCTATGCCAACAACTACTCACTAAAGGTTTAGTGAGTATCCTAATTAGAAAGGTAACAGTCTTCAGTGAAATCCACTGAATCCTCAGGGTTTATTCTGTCAAGAAATGGAATAACATGGATCAATCTTTATGATTCCAGAAAATCAAATCCTGAACCTGATGCTTCTGATATGTCCAGACTGAAATTAGCTACCAGGTTTTTCTCATTTTTAAATCGTGCAGGGAAAAATACATGTGATGTAACTGGTACTGATACTGACCTATGTGATACTACAGCATGACAACAATTTTCGTATATATATTATACCGACACATATATACCTGAGGAAGAAAAAAACCCAACAAACCCCCAAAATTTTTATTTTGGTTTTATGGCATAAATATTTTGACTGACAAAATAATAACAAGCATAATTAAAGCCACTTCTCTTAAATTACCAGTGGGCCAGTCTGTTTTCATCACTAATTGCAATGCATATATACAATATAATGTATATATTATACTTAATTGTGTTACTTTTTTTCTCATGAATTATCACTGGATCAGGTTGTTTTCTGTTTAATACCTGTAATAGAATATATTATCAAACTCTAACATGAAGCTGGCATTCTACCAAGTTCAACATACTTGTATAGAAGGAAATTTAGTTATGAAACTAAAAAGAATTTACTTAGAGTCCATGCAGCTATTACAACAGTTTAGGGTAGCATGAGTTTGAGTGGTATAGGTATGCCCATGAGAAAAGAGATTCAGGCTGTGAGATTTTATATTGAAGACTATTGCATAGATTTTTTTTTTTTTCAATTTTGAATTTCTTGCCACAATTTTGAAGCTTCCTACCAGCAAAATATTTTATTTCATCCTTAAGAAATGTTATGAAAAGAACATGTTGGAGACCCTGGCTTGTCTTTGTGGGCCAATTATATCTCTTTGGTCATGTAACTGGAGTTACTGAGAAGCTCCTATTGCTCTGGAGAGCAAGGAAAATACTCAATGTCTGTTTAATGGTCTAATGGAGACTGTCATTTTACTTCTGACTGTTTAAGGAGTCTTGTTCACTAACAAGCCACATGCGTAGCTGTTGCACAGAAGCTGTTGGTTTTCTGCTGTGCAGTTGGCAGACTCTGGGGAGGCACTGCAGAATCCATAGCACTATGTACCAGACAATTATTATATGGCATGCTGCTACAGGCTCCTCAGATACATCACAAGGTAATTTGTGTTAATGAATGTCAGAATTGTAGATGCTCTGCTGCTGAGCATTTTAGACCACATGTAGAGAATTCCAACAACTGGCATGCATTTATCTCCCTTGTCAACTAACAGTGTTATATTCTAAGCTATACTTAATACTTTTTTCTTACATTCATGCATAGGTGTGAACCACACACTGCATTTAATCAGAAATATAGCTAACGGGGAGGGCATCAAATTCTACTCTATGTACCATTTCCTAATATGTTTGACTCAATTAATTTGTCAAGAATAATAATTTGATAAAAATAATCAATATTGTTTGGGCACCTTGTCTACAGAGTAATTGCAAATCAGTAACTGTCCCTTTCTAACACTTCTCTGGTGTGCCATTGAAGGGTTTGCCCACCTTGCTCTATATAAAGAAATCCTTCAATATAGAGGAATTTGTTAACTATTGAGTTTGTAAAGGTGTTTTTCCTCACAGGTTTTAGTCAAAATCTATCTTCTCTGTCAATAACTTTCACTCGGCAGTCTTCAAGGGTTCATGAACTAGCTCTCATGGATACATGAAATGCAATTTTAAAAAATAAGCCTGTGTGCATGAGGCTTGGCTTTACAATACAGCATCTGTACCATCACTGACTAGTTCACTTTGCAGACTTAATCCTCCCCCCCTCCAGCTTGCTGCAAAGGGGTGTAGATATGAGCTTTCCCACTCTCCAGAAGTTCAAATAATGGAGATAATGAAGTATGTATTTAGTAGGCATTCTAAATTACAAAGGGGTTACTAATTAGCAACTCGAGATATCAGTGTAAAAGAACTACAGTAGAGTTGCCCAATACTAAAAGCAGGAAGTTGTTATTTTCCTTTATACCTTAATATATTCTGTAGGAGTGACAAAGAAATTATTTCTAATAGGTTCTCCATAAACACATACTAGAAGATATTTTCTGAAGAATGCTCCCCTTAACTGTGTAGTATATGTTAATGCTGCCATTTCAAATTTGCTCTACATAGTCTGCAAACATCTGTATATCGCAAGTATATGGTCTAGTTCCAGACTGAATGATATTATATTATTTCAATTTTACAGAAGGAGACCACACAAAGGATGATTAAGTGACTTGCCAAAAATTCACACTACAGAACAGCAAACTGAACTGCAATGGTAAGTTCTATAAGTGCTAACTTTATAAAACATGCTGTAAGTGTCCATCATCAAGTGCACCTGAAAAGCCTGAGCATTCATGATGATTGATTGCATTAAACCCTGCCTGCTGTGGTCACAGTGGAGTTCTCTGATTTATATCACTTTAGGACCTGCTCTGAGTTCTAGAAAGTGTTTAGCATCAGCTTATGAACATCATTTTTTCTGGAGAAAAGCATTGTGAAAGTACTTCACAAAATTATTTATCTATTTCTGAATAGTGGAGTGAGGTAAGATTTTCAACTTCATATTTGGAGGAATATGCCAGAAATTTCAGGTCTATGGAATAGAAAAGTCTGGTTTCTGAACTCATTTCATTATGATTTTTCAAAAAGGTAATGCTAATTCAATCGAAATATTCTATTTCAATAATACTGGTAATTTTTTACTATTATTTTTCATGTACATTCTTTGTAAAGGAGATGCTATTGAATTAAAATTATGTTAAAACAAAAGTCTTAATGCCTCCTAATGATGTCAAAAGACAAATATGTTTTTACTGAATTAGAGTTGTCAAAATCAGCACATTTTTATAGAATGTTTTTATTTTGGTGAAATGATGTCTTCTGACAAGAAAATATTCCTTTTGACCAGCTTGGCTTGCTTCACAGTGTACCTACTGTGAAGCCAAGACATTAAGGAGTACTTTCAGACTTTTCTTAGTATTTGACATAGCAAATATAAGTTATTAAATGCTAAGGCAAAGCTAAAGCTTGCTCTGTAGAGGCATTGCCCAATTGATATAATTATTGTGTTTTCAGTGCTGCTAGCTTTGATAGCTTCTGAGACTGCTTCTCAGCCTCTGTTCTTGCTGTCATGCATAACACCAGCAGATGTAGTGTTAGTGCCATAGGCACAGGCCAGATAATCCTGAATTTGGAAAGCAACGAATGTCATGTATTTATTTTACAGCCTAACATAATGTGGCCTGTTTGGGGAGCCAAAAATATGCAATTACATCTTTTCTGTTGATGTCTTACAATAAAGTTGTCAGCCAGATGATAGCAGTGAGGTAAGGGAGGCAGGATGCTGTGCAGAACGTATGTGTGCTGTAGTGACAACCCACAACATAACCTACAGATGCAGCACAAAGAAGCACTAAAAAACTCTACAAATAAAACATGTGAAGTCAGTGATATTAATGCATAATTGAAAAATTAACAATAACTTTATGCATCCTGTCAAGCTTCCAGCAGCATAAAAAAGGCAAAGAATTGCCTGAAGACAAAGAGTGGGAGAATCTTTTTCTATTTAGAGGAATTCCAAGCTGGCACCAGTGGATGTGAATTCAAAAAACTTTGGAGGATGTTTTGAAATACCAAGCTATGTATTTTCTGGCTGAAGGTATTGTCTCATTGAGCCTTGCCACCTTCTCCTTAGTTTCTATCAGCACATTTTTGTCCTTACCAGCACATTTTTGTCCTTTGTCTTCCATATATCATATCAGATATCATTCCTTTCCTGTTTCTCAGCCTTCTTCCCCATCCCCTTCCTATGTTTCCAGTTTTCTCTCACAAGGCCAGTCCCATCACCCCACTGCTCACCTGCTGTTTTGTGTACTTCACATTTAAAAGATTAACCAAAATATCTAAGGTGATTGACCTATACTAAATTGCTCTATTCCTTGTGTCTTACAGATTCATACATAGCTAGTTAAAAAACTCTTAACAGGCTACTTTCAAGTCAAGACCATATTTAAACTGGTGCAGAAATCTTACTTTCGCAGCCCACATCTTGACATCTTGGATCTTCTCTTGGCATTAAGGATAAATTTAAATAACTATTTTTAGGGAATATTTTTGGTTGCTTATACTTCCAATCATAGGTTTGATTCTTGAATTGAATAAAATTGGGTAGCATAGTGATATCACATAAGTGATAGAGAGATAGCTGTTGACTGAATGACATCATGATTCTATACCTTACCTTAACTTAAAATACGTTGAACACTTGATGACAATGTTGACAATGGTAACAACTCATTAACAGTAGCCTTGTTAGTTGCCTCAGGGATATTTTGCAATGGGTGGGAGGGAATTATAAGGCATGGAAAGAAAACTAGTTGAGGAGACAACTGTTCTGAGATGTCTTCTAAGCTCTGAAAAATATGAAGAATTCTCTGAGTTGCATGTATTGGGTCAGATATAAAATTTCTCCTTTTAAAAGCTGTATTTTAATCTCACTAACAGTAGCACAAGATGAATGACAATTAGTAGGCAGGTTGGCTTGTACCAGAGCCCAGAATACAAGCTTTTTTTAAAAAAACAAATAATATGAAGGATAAGATGGTATCAGGCCAATAAAATTATAAAAGAAAACCTAAAATTCAATAGTACAAAACAGCAGTTCTCCATCTTAATGAGATAAAGTCAATGCGCACATGTTGGCACAAACTTGCTACTCCTCTTCTATCAGATTTTATTTTAGGTCTGTAATACAGGAAAGAAAAGTTTTTTTAAACTTATAATTTTGATATTCAAAACTTCTCTAAAAGAAACTAATTTCTTCTTACCTGTATAAATCACAGTGAGGGAAGTGGTAGATTACACATTACAAATAGATGCTAGGGTTCACATGTTATTACAGAACTACTAATCCTAGGCTCCTCTGCTTAATGATATTAACCAAAGCCACTCTCCATCATATTTGAAAAATCATGGGAGTCAGCTGATGTTCCCAGTGGCTGAAAAAAAGTGTAATATAACCCCCATTTTCAAGAAGGGGAAAATGGATGACCCAAAGAACTACAGACCAGTCAGTCTCACCTCAGTGTCTGGCAAAATCTTGGAGCAGATTCTCCTGGAAGGCATGCTAAAGCACATGAAAATCAACAAGATGCTTGGTGACAGCCAGCATGGCTTCACTAAGGGGAAATCCTGCCTGACCAATTTGGTGGCCTTCTATGATGGGGCTACAGAACTGATGGACAGGGGTAGAGCAGTTGATGTCATCTACCTGGACTTGTGTGAAGCATTCAACACCGTCCTGCATGACATCCTTGTCTGTAAATTTGATAGATGGACCACTCGGTGGATAAAGAACTGGCTGGATGGCCACATGCAAAAAGTTGTGGTCAATGGCTCAATGTCCAGCTGGAGATCAGTAACGAGTGGTGTCCCCCAGGGATCGGTGTTGGGACCAGTCTTGTTCAACATCTTTGTCAGTGACATGGACAGTGGGATTGAGTGCACCCTCCACAACTTTGCTGATGACACCAAGCTGTGTGGTTCGGTTGATACGCTGGAGGGAAGGAATGCCATCCAGAGGGACCTCGACATGCTTGTGAGGTGGGCTGATGCCAACCTCATGAAGTTTAACCATGCCAAGTGCAAGGTCCTACACCTGGGTCGGAGCAATCCCAGGCACAGCTACAGGTTGGGCAGAGAAGAGATTCAGAGCAGCCCTGCAGAGAAGGACTTGGGGGTGCTGGTCAATGAGAAAATGAACATGAGACGGCTTCGGTGTGCACTTGCAGCCCAGAAAGCCAACCGTATCCTGGGCTGCATGAAAAGGAGCGTGACCAGCAGGTCGAAGGAGGTGATCCTGCCCCTCTACTCTGCTCTCGTGAGACCTCACCTGGAGTATTGTGTGCAGTTCTGGTGTCCTCAACATAAAAAGGACATAGAACTGTTGGAATAAGTCCAGAGGAGGGCCCTGAGGATGCTCAGGGGACTGGAGGACCTCCCGTATGAAGACAGGCTGAGAAAGTTGGGGCTGTTCAGCCTGGAGAAGAGAATGCTGCTTGGAGACCTTATAGCAGCCTTCCTTTATCTGAAGGGGTGCTATAAAGACACTGGGGAGGGACTGTAGTGATAGGACAAGGGGTAGCGGGTTCAAACTTAAACAGTTTAGATTGGATATAAGGAAGAAGTTCTTTATGGTGAAGGTGGTGAGGCATTGGAATGGGTTGCCCAAGGAAATTGTGAATGCTCCATCCCTGGTGGTGTTGAAGGCCAGTTTGGACAGAGCCTTGGGTGACATGGTCTAGTGTGAGGTGTCCCTGCCCATGGCAGGAGGGTTGGAACTAGATGATCTTACAGTCCTTTCCAGCCCTAACTATTCTATGATTCTATATCATCTGGACTTGGCAATGGTTAAGAACAAAGTAATATTCTCTTCCTCATTCATTACCATATGGATAATAACCACATATTAGATTAAGTTATAAGCAATATGCTCAAACTTGCCAGGTATACAAAAAAGCATAGAAAAGCTTTTTGAATGTAAATAAGGTGTAAAAGAAAGGTCTGTTTAACAAAAAAATTACTTTATTCATAAGTTCTGACATTTTCTGTTGAAAGAAAGAAAAACCAACCTCCTGCTCATAAAATGAAAAAAGAAAAAAATATGAAGAAGGCTTGATATCTGATCAAGGAAAATAAGGCAGGAGCAGATGTCCTTCTTTATCATTTATAATATCTTATTCCTTATTTTTCATCTTAGGGCAGTACTGAAGGATATTGCACTCTGGAAAATTTTGTTAGCTCATGGTAAGTACTGGACCTGCAGATTCACTGGTATTGCTTTGGATTTATGTCTTAGTGTTTTTCTCAAATGAGTCCAGATTGATGTAGTAGTTTGTATCTCATTTTCTCTACTTACTATGCAAATTATTATTAAATCTCCTAAAACAGAGGAGGGAGAAAGACCTGAGAGCTGCGCATGGCCATAGCTTCTTGATAAACTATTCACTTGGTATGTAAGCTTTTAGGACATTCATCTCACTTTGTCTGCAGTTTTCAATATCATGGTATGGTGCCAAGGGATAAAAAAAACCCACCAAAATGTGAGACTTTAAACAACAGAAAAAGACCGCCCACAATTGGAAAGTTCTGGGAAACAGTTGAAATACTTTAGCTGGTGGTGATATTTAAAAGGGTGTTCAGTTATCTTTTAGACTCTTATTTTGTGTCCATTAGTTACAGCAACAGTGTTTTCATGATCTGGACCCTGTATTGTCACTCTCCATCAGACTCTTTAAACTACAAACTGCTAGAGTTTGTAAGAATTAAAAAATCAAAAGATTCTCTAAATGGAGTAGTGTGTTAGATTATTTGTGGTGGCTTGGCAGGTGGCAGCAAATTAGCTATTGATGGGGGATTTAAAGACTTAAGTTTTCTGTGGGGCAGATGAGAAACAAGGCTAAGAAGATCTACCATGTTTGAAGAAGATTATTGCATTATTTAAGACTTTTCTGGTATTGCTGTAAAAAAAATATATTTGACAAGGACTCACTGGCTGTAGTGATATTTTAACTGGAAAGGAACACCATAACATGTCTTTCATAGAAAATACACATCAAGCTTTGGCATCTGTCATTTCTGTATGCAATATTTATATTGCATGTGTCATTATAGCATCTATGTACTGTTCAAGAATTGAAATACAACTTATTTCTAAACCAGGAACATTCTGACAACACAGAGCATCAGTTTACCATCTCAACAAAGCCAGATGACAAAACAAAGTTATTGGAATCTATATAATCAAGTCCATGCATCATAATGAAAATCCTTAAAATGGATTTTATAGATATTAAGAACTTGTGTAGTGGTAGAAGTCCGGTATAATGTACTTGCTTGCTGCTTCTTCTGAAGAGTTAAAACAGAATTTAAAAATGGAAATGTTTTGAGATTTATAAATACTCTCAGCTAACAAGCAAACAGTATTATATCTTGCATTTCTCCTGTGCTTCCTGGATTTTACTATGCATCTCCCAGTTTTCATCCAACCCCATCTCTCTGATATGCTCACTGGTATTCTCAGTGGCCAGAAATTTATAAGGAGCTATACTGCAAACCACATAACTTAGTTTCAAAACTTTACATGTGCATTTTCTGAACTAAGAGTTGTGATAGCACTGAACCCTGAAAGACCGCGTTTGTTTTTGGAATGACGTGCTTAGGGTACAAAAGTTGACTATCATTAATTTTTAGGACTATTTTGAAAGGAATGATTGATGGCAAGCTCAACATCAGCCAGAAAATATTATGTATGCCAAGTTCAGCAATATCCCACATGGATGTCTGGTTTTTTGCTCCAAGGTCACACTGGTAGCCAGTCTGCTCCAGATGATGGACAGAGTCAAGCTACCAAACCATAACAGTATCAGACAAAAGTCTGAAGCCAGCCTGAAAAGGGCAAAGATTTTCTCTAGAAGATACATATTGTTGTTAAGAGGCCAATATTATCACCCAAGGAGTTCCAATAATAAAAAGTTTATAGAGTTAGGTGGGTTGAGAGCAGGAAAATCTTTTGCATGTCTTAAGAATGTGAGGACTCTGACAGGGTTCTGGAAAGCCAAGGTGCAGAGAAGACCTGGCTAATCTTCTAGGACAACCTCC